AGTTGGAAACGTTAAATAATTTAGAAAAAAACATCAAAATAAAAACACAGTACTAAGCAAAATGAAAATGTATCAATTCAATCAGTTATTTCAAAAATTATTTTTTTTATTTTTAGAAAAAGCGCGTTACCTAGGACTCCATCTGGACAAACGTCTAACTTGGAATCCTCATACCAGACTGAAACGACAAGAAACAGCTCGACGTTTCCGACTACTTCAACACTTACTAGACAAACGCTCTAATCTTCCAATTAATTATAAAAGACTCATTTACATGACTATAATAAGGCCTATTTGGGCTTACGGAGTTGAGCTATGGGGCTCCACCAAACCTTCAAATTCCTCTCGCATCCAATCCTTACAATCCAAAATCCTTCGTAAAATCCTCAATTCCTCCTTACTTTGTTACAAATAAAATTATCCATAATGACCTTAATGTTCCTTATGTATCAGATTTGGCCCAATCCAGATATCTGTCCTTCCATAATAAACTTCATAGCCATCCCAACCCTCTTGTTTCTAACCTTCCTATTCAATTCCTGATAATCCTCCGAGGCGTCTGAAAAGAAGATGGCCACGTGATCTTCTAATATAGACATATTATTAGAGTGCTACCAATGGGTAATTTCTCAACATGTGTTTCATGTCATTATATGCATGTGCGAATTTACGAGATGAATTTTTTTGTATACAGTTGTAAACATCATATAAATAAATAAATAAAAAAAAAAAGGGCACAAAAAATATATGTATATTTTACTAATTTTAAAACATTATGAAAAATATACAAGTATACTATTTTTTCTTTTCAACTTAAATGTTCATCTCATGAAACGTTAGGAACATTACAGTGCATAAAGATTTACAGATGCCAACAGTTAACGACCACATTACAAAAGATTTCACAATAACTTACACGGACATACATAGCAGCCGTAGGAGGCTCAAGAGAAGCTGGACGATGGATCTCCTCCACTAACAATAATAAATATTAAATAAACATAGAAACAGAGGCCGTGGGACACTGCTCTCCCTCACGCCTACCAACGTCTTATTCCTTACTCTTCTCCACGACAGCGGTGTCGTTGCTTGTTGCCACTCCCAACGGATGTGAGTTGAATAATAAAGATTAAAAATATATATATATATCTTAGACCAATAAAAATTAAAACAAAAAAAAAACCCTAACCAACCTCAATTTAAAACTAGTAAAAATGACAAATGTACCAATTCTGAAATAACAGATTCATTTATGATTTACATACAACAATGAATTTTGTAAATTTGTTCCTAAGAAATAATTTCAACTGACAGTCTTGAAAAAGAACTGGCGACGTACACTAAAATATTTTACTTAAGTGGCGAATCAAACACAAAACATTACAAAGATTATCTACAAATAAAAACAAACGTTATTGGGAACTATTGGGTGGATACATAAGTTCGTTCGGTTTTTGATAGTAATGCGAATTGTTTTCAATTATCTCCATTTCTCTTTGTCTTATCTGACAATAATGATACTTATCGGAATAGTTAAAGTGTTAACTTACTTCGAAACTGTCGTGTTTGGTTTCATTGGCATTAGGTTTATTTGTGCTACAGCGTTAATGATTATATCAAATAATAAAGTGTTTTTTTTTTTAACTTTTTTTTTGTTTTAAGAAAGGCAAGAGAACTTCGAAAGTCTACCGAAAGATATGTAAGGTATACGAGAACGATTTCCTATCAGAAGGTACTGCTCAAAAATGGCTTCCCAAATCCCGTTGAGGAGATACGAGTTTCGAAGATGCACCCACACCATGCAGCCTACCATGGTGGATTTGAGTAATATCAAGACTCTAATCGAACAAGACCAGTCACAATAGGTACGAGAAGTCGCGGAGACACTGAAAATATGAATTTATTGCCATTAAAAACAATTTTTTCTACCATTATTTTTGTTTTAATTACCCTTTCTTTGCTTGCTTTTATTCCAATCAATATGAATTCTTCTATCAAAATATTTAAATTATTTCGAATGACAAATGATTAAAATATTTAGTCTTAATATGGTTTATGAAGTCTGCAAATCCTAATGTGTCATATTTTAAAGTAACAATCGATTATTTATCCATTTATAAAATATTTCTGATCATTCTTATTACTATTTCGTTAATTCAATACTTGAAGAAGAAATATTTAAAGAAGTAATACACGAATGCCATAATATAAGTTATTATTATATTTTTAAAATTCACTGACTTTTCGAAGTTTTAAGGTTATTTCTGAAACAAAATCTATGTTATAAAAACAGTTTTAATCTGGTGCAAGACAAAAATTAAACAACCTCTATTACAAATAAACAAAAAAAAAATATATAAAAGCAGGACCTTAGATAAAAAATCTGTAATATTCTCTTTTAAATTTATTTATTTAAACAAAGTACCATTTTTTCGGATGATAAAAAAATTAATGGCTTCTTTATAAATATTTTTAGGACAAAATAAAAAAAATAGCAAAAAAATATTGTTTATTAACAAATGTTAAAAGACATCCAGATATTTCTTGTTTTCCAGCTTCGGTTGACACTCTGAATTTATTAATTTGCTTTGTCGTGTTGGTCAATTTTCAGAGAAGAAAATAATAAAACAGAGAAGACACGAGAAAAAGTACGAAGGAGCCGGAGTAAGATATGTCCTCTCTTGCCATTATTTAGATAATTATAATCATGACACAATGCGGTCCGACCAGTTGCCAAGCACTCTCGCTAGTATCCAGATCCGGTTTGGGGACGTCCTTCCGAGATAGCACATAGTTTTTCCTGAGTGTAGAAATATATTGCGATACTAAATAAATACCAAAACGTAAACAAATCTCTAAGCATTTTTGGACACCATGATACGTATTTCAACTACCATAAACTGTGATGGCCTGGAATCGATAGTACTGTGTCCAAAAGTTTTGTTCGGAGGTCAACAGAAATACTTAAATCAATAAAGATTGATTATAAATCAGTTTGGCTATCAGTTGTATTTAAGTTTTTGATGGGCCTACTGAATATATCTAGATCTTCACACTCTTGCCACAATAGGTTAGCTACATATAGGTTAACGCTTTCTTTCCTCATTGGCCCAAGAGTATAAAACCCAAGAACAAATAATTATCAATATATATTTTTATATGTTTGTTGGCTATATGTTATATATATATATACATATATATATATATATATATATATATATATATATATATATATATATATATATATATATATATATATATAGTCTTAGTTTTAAGACTATACTTCAATACATAAGCAATTTTAAATTAAACTATAAAAGAGATATGTAATGATCAGTATGTTTCATTCGTGCTATAATATACTTCTTGCTATTTCTGAAATAAAGCATTTTAATTTCACTTTTTTTAATACAGATTTCATTATTTTTATTTTTAATCTGATGTAGTTTTTTCACTACTACCTCAGATCTCTCAGCTCAAATATATTCTCAAGTCGAATATGACCGTAAGTTTTCCCATTTTGTCATAAAGGTAGGAAATACACAACGTGTTCACTTGATTTTTTCACCTTACGAGATATGTAACTGATATGTAACGTAAAGCAAAAAGTAATGGATTCCACTATTAAATTTTGTCTGATACAGCCATAAATTATTTATGTATATTATTGTAATCGTTTTTTTTTTTTCCAAAATGAAACGTTATTTTTTGAGGAAATCGAGATACTAATCGGTTCTCATGTAAAATGGTGCAACAATTATTTTTCTTTTCAAAAATGCATATGAATATTTAAAGAAGCGGTGTGAAAATCAGTTTATATCCGAAACCGGCTTTCTTTTGTCAAGGAATCTAATGAAACTTACGTTTGGTAAGTATTCTTAAAAAAATAATTCAACAAATTCGATTTTTAATCATTTTATGAAAATAAAAATTAAAACTAAAGAACTTCCATGCCGAATCATCCAGAGCCCATCACATTTTTTTTTATACCATAAATTTTATAACTTTTCCCTCCGAATTATAAATTAATTTTTCTCTCCAAACTGAAACCATTTCATTCTTTTTCTTTCAAAAACGGGCTATGAAGTTTAATTTTTTTTTTAAAAGAGGCCCTTTATTCATATTTCAATGTTTTTAAAATACTGTTGAAGTAATCAGTGATTTTTGGAAATATGCGTTATAGAAGTATTTATTAATTAATTAAACTATATATATATATATATATATATATATATATATAAACCTGTATCACTACAACCCATGAAAGGTCTGGGGTTCAGTACTATTTAGGGAAAGCACTGTTTCTAGGTCAACGGTTGTTGTAAGGAGGTAGTGATTTGACCGAGACCGAGATCACGCTCAACCGCCAAGTTTCCCAGAGGTTGGGTGTGCCCCAGAAGAGTCTCTCGTCCCAGAGTCGCCCCACGGCTAATAAAACAGATAAATAAATTTTCTGCCATGAGCCGGGGTTCGAACCTGGGACCTCTGGGAGCATTGGAAGCTCTGTGCCCTAACACTGAGGTACCCCGCTCCCATAAAAAAAAAAGAAAATAATATATATATGTGATGATATTAAAATTGGACTACAATATAGTTTTTCGCGTTTCCTAAAAATTGTCGATGATGATTTCAATTTTTTTTTTTAAACTTATTTATTGAAAAATATTACAATCTGTCTCAAGGACATTTATAATAGTGTTCCCAGATCACATTCACACTCTATCGATGAGGATTAAGGTTCAATTCGAAAATAAACCTCTCATTTGCACTTGCCTTATTTGCCACTTGCCAAGTGTTTAGGCTACGTCAAAACATGTGTTTCGTCAGACCAATCTCGTCATCATTCTCAAATTTCTGAACCTAATCGAAGAACACCCACAGGTGCTCCAAGGATCAGATACTAATTAGAAGTGCGATACTGATCTGTTAGGTAATATAGGTCAGCAACGTAGGCGCCGCTGCACTTAGGAAACCTACGGGGCGGGTATCTGATCCTTCAGATGGATCTCGATGGCCCCAGGACATGGAACATTAGTCTCAAAACGGGAGCAGCATTTGAGAGCAAGGCGAGGCGCGTAAGCCGGGGAGTGGTGCGACACTGCTCCGGGCAGCGAAAGTGATCTTGCGCAAGGTTGCGCTAATTATCTTGCGTTACGTCTTCTTGTTTTCGTCACGTACCGGGTTCTCCCTCACGGCCAAGGCTAGGAATTCTTTTCAATTTAACGCAGTGAAATTTTTGCTTTATTTTTATCTAAAAAGATTTAGTCTTCGGATACAACTTCTTACAGTGGTATGAATAATATGCCCGTTCAGTAAAATCAAGTTCAGATATCAAAATAAAGAACGTTTAATAGATTATCGTATGCCATTAGAAGTATCGTAGGAAATGTTTATTTTTATTTTTTTTAAATGAACTAACTATTTTTATTGGGAAATACGGTGCTGGTCTTAGGATGGGGCAAGCAGGGCAGTTGTCCGGTCCAGCGGATCTTCTGGGACGCTTGCCATTTATGAGAAAAAAAAATCATGAACTTATTAAAATAATGAATTTTAGCCTGCCAATAAATCAACTGCATTAGAGAATACAATAAAATTCAAATGTTACATATAATAAAAGAGGTTTAGAAATATTTGATCTTGCAATATTTTTTTAAAGGGAGGATGAGGTTATTGACCTGGTGGGGGGGGGGGCACCTAATGTTTAGGACACTTCAAAAAAGGAAAATAAATCTATTTTAAAGATTATTATCGAGGTTTGATAAAAAAAAATTAATTACTCAAATTAACACAACGAAAATTAATTAAAGATAATATTTCTGGATATGATATGTTATGCTGATGAGTCAAATCCAAAATATTAATATCGCAATAAAAAAAATTAACTTTTTAAATTTAAATTCAACTCCCCAATATTTTAATTTAATTCAATCTATTAACATTCCACCGTGCCAAAACCATGAGAGCGAGTAAAAATGGAGTCAATGATTGCTACAGTTTAGCAACCCCGAAGCCAACTGCGATCACAGATTGGATAACAGTTCGCTACTATTGCCCCTGACCGCAGGGATCTCCTCACCGTTAGATTGCACCATTCTTACTCCGACCGATCTGGTTGTACTATTGAGTAATTCAACTTCATACCTTTAGGTTATAAAAGGATAACGGTTAGAATACATTAGAAATAAATGGTTTAATAAACATAGATAGACAGATAGAAAATAAACTTTATTCTGGAACGAGGTCCCTTATGAATAACAATTATAGACGAAAAAAAAAAAACCACGTCTGTCCAAAAATTATTGGAAAAAATAATCTCTTAAAGTATCATTTTTCGTATAATTACATTTAATAGTACTTCAAGAATCATTTAAACACCACTTCATAGAGGTAGAATCTTTCTTTTTTTTCCAAAGTAATTATGGTTTATATATATATATATATATATATATATATATATATATATATATATATATATATAACTTACGATTAGACTGAAAGACTGATAAAAAAAAGGGGGTTTAGGGCATAGTAACAGTACACAGGTTCGTGAGCAACTGACTTTATTATTTACTTCATCCAATATATATAGTAACGGTTTGTTTTCATTTACAATGCTTTGTTAATCCTATTAGTAACATAGTTCTTATTATTGTTTATGGCTTATACACAGCTAACCCCCTCCCTCCAATTCCTTCGTATGGAGGAACTTATAATAATAAAAGAGAGAAAAAAAAATAATAGAACATAAAACACAAACTCAAACACTTTCAAAAGAGCAGAAAAAAAAAATAAGTAACAGATTCACTTGCTTAACATACTTATACCTAAAACAAAAGAAAATACAGATATCCTAAAATACAATAACTTAACCTATATACAATGAAATTTAGCAAAAAAAAATCTTTTCCACTCTACTTATATAATGCTATCTAACAAAAGTTAATCAATATTGCTAAAAACATAAAAATGGATAATAAGAAAAGAAAACTTCCTAGCCGTGAGATGGTCCAGGCTGGGCGCCGCCGTCCATCTCGTTTTCTGGCATGATCTGGGGTACCCGAAGTTCTTCGAGGTGTACCGTACCTGACCGAAACGGGTAATTTACATCCCTGATAGTAAATAGATTATATATATATATATATATATATATATATATATATATATATATATATATATAAAAAAGCTTTCGGGCTGAAGCCTCCTCCCCCAAAATTAAATCTTGGTTCCGCTAGTGCTAATTAATAAGGTGAATTATCTACTTCATTGCTAATACTTAAATCCTTGAAATAAACAATTCGCATCCCCTTCTCTAATTGTCAGTGTGGTATGGAGTTCCTGAAATTAACAATTAAAACATGGAAAAATTGGATGTTACCTTTTTCTTTCTTTTTTTTTTTTAATGGCCTTTACATTTTCCGCGAAATCCTATTTTAGCAGTAATTTATCTTTTTTTAATTATTAAAGCCGAAATGAATTTTTAAAGTTGATTATGTCCTTCTCGATTTTGTTCTTTTATTATTTTAGTAATATTGAGAGCTGGTCCATAAGAGGTTATCTTTACTAATATTTATGTGGTACTGCGTTTGAATTTCATACTGAAGCATTCTTATAACTTGTTTAAACGTATTCATTCCTCATCCCTCGTTCATAACTGTTATGATATGTTAAGTAGAGAGGTATTCTACACAAAGAAATCTGGCAAAATGAGTCTAGAACTTTGGCAGCTGTTCTTCCCCAAAATTAATTTTTCAAAGGAACACCCAAGACTCCAAAAATTACACCCCACGGCATTATTATCTTTCAACTTCATTATAACAAAGTAAAACAAACTTAGAATAAATATCGCCTAAAGTAAATTTGATATTTATCAAACGAAAATCTGTTTTGTTTTGAATATATTTCGAAATTATTCATCCTTACTTAGTGGAATAACAATCTCAGTTGCCGAACAACTCCCTCAGCCAGCTCATGAACACACTCCCCCCATGTACTGTTCTACATACATCAAACCGAAACAAACCCCTAGCTACATATTCATTAGCGCAGATGATATTAACGCTAAATCATCAGAGATCGGAGATAGCGGCTAATAAAAGGGAAGAGAACCATTTATTGGAGGGATGATAAACTGAGACGCGGTGGGGCGCTAAACGGTGCATTTGCATGCAGGATGCACCTCGGGCCTCAGCCTCGTCTGAATCGCATTATTTCCATGAATGCAACAATTTCACAGGGATCTGGTGAGTCGGAATCTACATAGTAATAGTTCAAAATTGACGTGAATAATTCAACATTGTATTAATTGTTCGCGAGCCATACCCGAATGGTTTGAATTTCTTCAAGGGTAAGCTTGGAGAGAGGGAGGGGCGTGAATTGCACAACTTGTTTTTGTTTTGTTTTTTATAAAATAAAGTATGTACACATATATACAACACAATAAGTCATAATAATGTGTACTTATGGCAACATTACCTTATAAATGCTGTACATTATAATAAAGTGGTGTGATTGCTATTTTTATGCTGAAATATATTTTGTACCGCAGGAAAAATTAAAAATAACAAACATAAGCTATACAAATGAATAAATAACATAAAAAATTATACTGTCATTAAAATGTATTAACAAGATAAAACTAAGCACAAAGCTTTGTCCGTTTGTGTGTGTACCGTTTCAATGATTTCTTGTCATTATTTCCTATTGAAGAAAGCTAGTCGACTGTTCTACATATCATGGGTGAAATAGTCAGGACGCAGTCGTTATAAATTTTTTTTTTATTATTTGTGCCAACGTTTCAACCCAAACATTAAGGATCGAATCGGTTTGTTTATTCTTAAAAACAGGCTTCAAGTCCTAACCAACAATATTAAAAAATATGTATCGCTTGTTAATATTTTTTAATCTATTTATTTATACTAGTGGTATATATTTATTAATATTTTTTAAATATATCTATTTATTTATTGAGGAGAAAGTTTCTTTTATTTATGGTTGTATAAAGTACGAGCCGTAGTTTTATTTTTTTATTTTTTTTTTGTATTAATTTAAGTAGAAATCAAGTGATGTTATTGTATGAAACCAACAGATGTTATTTGTATTAAGAAAGAAAAAAACAAGCCCTGGTGAAGACCTGTAAAGTGGATCGAAACGTCGGCGTAATTTAAAATATACTATTCTAGTTTATGGTATTTATTTCACCGCAACCCCTGACCAACTCCATCTCATATTTATTTATACATTCATCCGAAATTGCGTCTTGTCATGATTAGCTCTAGCCATATAAGTCGGGATTAAAAAGGTCATACTGTATCTGTGTGTTGATCCTGCTGACACTTCTAATGATTTTTCATGTTATGAAAATTTATATACGTTTGTATAAAAATTGCTTATAATACTATTTACTCTTGTTTTGTGCATAAATTATGAGTTTTTAAGTTGGCTCTTTTAATATCGTCAGTTTATGAGAGCTTAACTTAAACGTATTTCTGTATTTCGATCACATTCATCAATTCCAAAAATTGATTATGCGTCAAAAATTGTTATACAATATGATTTAGCAGAAGGGAATTCCATCAAATTATGTTTTGAGTGGATTTTATTAAACGTTCCTTATAGAATTTTCGTAATAATTCGACAATAAAACAATATATTTATTTCAAAACACACAGATTCTTTGAGCTTACAACGATATCTGATAATCCCATGAAGCCAAAAAACAGGAAGTTATGGGTGATAAATAGTCAAGATGACATCATGATACAAATTTCTTTTATTTGTGCCAACGTTTCGACCCAAACATGTGGGTCATCTTCAGGGCGTGGTTCCAGCACTGAAGGCTTTCGTTTCTTACTTTGTCACAAATGAAATCATCCATAAAGACCTTAATGTTCCATATGTTTCCGATTTGGCCCAAACCATATACCTATCCTTCCATAACAAACTGCAGAATCATCCGAACCCTCTCGTTTCAAACCTTGCTTTCTCCTAGATCCCTGATAACCCTCCGAGGCGTCTGAAAAGAAGATGGCCTCGGGACCTCCTAATATAGAACTTTAATTTGAGTTCTACCAATGGGTAGTTTCTCTTCATGTTGTACATGTCATGTTACCAATGTCACATTTACTTGTTGTATTTTTCATGTAATACAGTTGTAAATTTCATTAAAACAAAAAAATAAATAAAAATAAAACAATTTTTTTTTTTAATTCCATAGGAAATTTTCTGCAAAAATATTGAGACATTGCAGTACGCCATTGCTTTGAGACGAGCTATACCTGTCACAAATTATCAGGTATTCCATATTCTTCTTCCAGCCATCCTCAGCCGTAGAAGTTTCCAAGAACAAAGGAGAAAAGAGAGGGTGGATACGGTATTGCCCTAATTAGATTTCTATCTCTGTGTCAGCTGATTAAAGGCAGCTCATTACCAGCCCTTTCTCTGATTCAATATTCCTCTTACCTAAAATGTCTTCTTCGATAATGGACAGTAATTGCTATCAATGTCTACTTTCATTGTCAGCTCCAATCCAATGATGGCTTTGTTAAGGCTCTCAATCGATATTGTGATTTCCAAGGAAAGGGCGTAGCTAGATAATATCCGAAGTGTATAGGGCAATTAATATGTTTCGAGAACATTATTTAATATGAACTATTTTTTGAAAAATTTGTTGACTCGATAGGTCCTAGTCATAGAAATTTATAAAAGTAATTTTTTTTTAATTTTTAATCGCCTCTACCCTAGAGGGCCCTTGGCGGCTAGTTTTCTATACTCTATTGTAATATTTGGTCTCTATTAAGTATCGGAATAGGGTGGTGACTCCATCTTCGCTGTCTCTTAATATCTGCTTCATTTCGGTAGGTAGTTTCAATTTTTGCCGAATGTTGTTGAACTCGTGGCACTCTACTAATAGATGTTTCACTGACTGGGGTTTACTGTCACACTTTGGTAAAGGGGTTGATTCTAGACCTCTGACAAGGTACCCGTGAGTAAACAGGCAGTGACCTATTCGTATTCTACACAATATGGTTTCTTCTCTTCTGGATAGTCTAGCGCTAGTAGCCCATTTGTTGCACTCTGTTTTTATTTCTAATAGTTTTGACTGTTTAGTTTTCCATTTATTTTCCCAATCTTCCAACAACTTCTTTTTTGTTTCGTGTACCCAATCTTCTAATGTGGTACAGTTTATTGAAATTATGGTTGGTTTCTCTCTCTTCCTTGCTAAATTATCTCTCTTTCATTGCCTGAGATGGAACCCAGACAAATATTACACTGACCGTTCTATTTTTTAATCTCCACCATAGATTCAATATATCCCTTATTAGGGAATTGCTTGGCCATGGGTTACCTATTGCTGCCATGACGCTTTTGGAGTCTGACCGCCTTCATGACCGCAGTAGCAATTTAAAATTTGTTTATTTTCCTTAATAATTGTTTGCTATAAGCTTCTATTCGCTATATTATATTACTACCAAACGCTTTAGACTGAATCGGTTTGCTAAGGATGTGGTGATACATAAAAGTGGTTACAAGAGATTGGTGCTCGTAAATAACTAAATAAAACATTCCAAATAACTACAAATTGGTTTATATTTCATAATAGATATCCTTAAGAACAAGACAAAGTATTTCGGTTTCATTATACCAGCCCAAGAGGACTTGAATCTTATGAGGGATTCGACAACAACTAACAAGTGGACGACGTTATGATAAATAGGTTCGTCATAATACTAAATAATAATCGCATCAAATTACATCCGGCCAGCTCGGAAAAACTCGGTATTACCATCGATAAAGCCATATAATATAAAAATCAAGTCTCCAATGTCTCCCTTATTAGCTTTTTCACCTTAAAGCGACTAAATTTATTACTTCACCTACTTAAATTAAAATCCGCAGACTGTTTGATGTTTCTTTGGTATTCGCTAACGTTGACTATTATATTATAAGTTATCCAATCCCGTCGTCCTTCATACATATTCGAGCTCCTTCAATTAAAATTTTATACATAAATACCGCTACCTTCGACATTATCGGATCCTCATCCATATGGAACTCCATCGCTACAACACCCTCCCTACCTTTAAATTCCGCCTGTTCAACCATTTCTTATCCATCCAGTCCCCATTAAATTGTAAATAAATATTACCGCAAATATGTATACGAATTATTAGATTGTTCTTAATTATTTTTACTTCATGTTTGCTCATTGTTTTTTATCATTAACTGATTAAAATTAGAAAGTAACTTATTAATTATGACTATTTAATTACTTTGTGTTTTTGTTTATGTCTCTTCGAAAGGGATCCGTCCCAGAATAAATTAAATATTATTATTATTAATACAGTACATGGCGGTGTCTGTGAATCTCAAAGGGCCAAAAAAATGCTTAACCGTCTTTATGAAGAGTTGAAGTGGCTTTACCCTTCCAATCGTTGTATTTTCCGCTGTCCTCCTACCAACTTATCCATCCCATCGTTTATAATACGTTTGGGAACTCCTTCGATTTAAATCCTCTATACACGCAAAGACCGTTTTTGAATATCAGGTCCATTCCTCGTCCTAATGCAATTCCACTCCTTCCTTCATCTATCGCTTTGTTCCGACCTTGAAATCCCTACTCAGTAATTACCTGTACATCCCGTTTCCAAAGATTTAAAAAAAAAAAAACTGGTTTTAGATCAAAATTTGTTTATAGATTTATAGACCATCATCACAAGTTGTACAATCCATTACTAAATCTTGGCTACCTCAAGAATTAATCCTCACTATCTCAACACTTTCCACTATTCTGAGCAACCGTCCAGATGTTCCTAATTCCAAGAATTATCCCATGGGCACTAACTCCCTTTATCCATCGCTGCTTCTTTTTTCCACCCGGTTCCAGTTTAGATCTCGTTCTTCCGTTTTAATGGGTCAAATATCTCTCGAATGAACTTTCTTTCGAAACGTCGAAAGTATTTCTCTCTCACTGGCCCTCGTCAATGTCTATTTTCACAATCAAGACGGTAGTATGTCAGAACCACGATTCATCAGAAACCTTTATTTAATCTTTTTTATGCATTAGTGTATTTTTTTTCCGAATGTAGAACGTGAAAGTAAAATTAATATCTACTATAAACACCCTCCAAAAGTTATTGCATACTATTTTGAACAGCTGAGATAAGTTATAAATAAACGTAAAGAAGATGCGGACGGAAAGGAAACACTCAAAATGCAGTACATAAATCAGAAAACGTTTATTAATTAGTGGTATTTAGCAAAATTTTATAGGTTCAAGACAGAGTTCAGCAAATGAACAGGTAATATAATCTAGTTACAACAAAATGAATAAAGACCCCATAACTC